CACTCTTGTGGAAGCAAATACTTGTGACCCGTTTGGAAGTTCTCACACGATAACCCGCGCAGGGCGCCGCGGGGCAGCATCGCGGCACGACCGGAGCAGTGGCTTTTCAAGGGAGCAGGGCTGCGTGCCGGAGGAAAAGCTCTCCCAGGAACACGGGCAGGAAGCGCACGGACAGCCCGAGGGAACGGTCCCGTTTGTACCACACCTGCTCTAAGAGCTGAYGGCGGCAATCGACGTGTCCCAAGCTCCTGCGGCGCCCGGCACCGCCGCCTCCTTCCCGGCTCTCCCCATCCCACTTACTCAGGACAAAACCTTGCTAAATTTCAGGCTGAGCCCTCTTGAGCCGCTCGTGGATTCATGTTCCCAGTGGCTCTCCTCGTGCTGCTGGCTCACGGGTGGCACTGCCAATGTCCCTTCTGGGGACATCAATGTAGCTGGACCCTGTTGAAGCCCCATAACTCACCAGCTTTTGTGGTCTCCACAGCTGCAGGAGGAAGACTGTGTATTAAAGGCAGTGTATTCCCAAGGGAAGAGTACTTGGCCATGGAAATCAGCACTCACACCAAACCACAGTCCTAAAGGCACAAACCGGTGAACTAAGTGGAGCAAGCGGGCAAATTCAAAAGGTTCCCATGGGATTAAAGCCAAGGATTTCGCTAACAACCTAGATTTCTGAGGCAGCACCTCGAGAGCCTGATCCTGGACACTGGGAGCAAGAGACGCAGCCCAAGTACATCCTGATTTACTGCCGTCCTCCCACCGGACGGCACACGCCAAGCTCAGCACACATCGCTTTTGTCTCACGTCTTTTCCAGTATTCCTGTTTTTTCTAGCTTCCTAAAGTAACACTGTTCACACAGATACGTATCTATAAGCGAATATGAACACGTGCATTTCTACATATCCACATGCTTGAGTCCCTGGAATCAGGGGGGAATTGAGTTCCTTTCTCTTATACGCCAGGGGAGCAGCTGCCCATTACGACGGCACCAGTGGTTGTTCTCCAAGGGAACTGTTTCCATCCCAGTTCTCTGGAGAAAGCAACACAATGCGTATTACCAGCGAAAGAGACGTGCTTCATGTAGCYTAGGCCCAAACTTTTATATACAGAAAAGAAACCCCTTAGACACAAAGCCCCAGGCCCCCTCTGCCTCGCAAACCTTGGCGCTTCCGAGCAGCGCCGGCGTGGGCGCAGAGCGCCSAGAGCACCAGCGGGCGCCCGCGTGGCGCCCAGGGCGAGCGACGTGCGCCCGCTTTGTGGCAGCAGACAGCAGGGTGGGCACGGCGCCCGCAGCACACTCTTCTCTGCCGGGTGCAGCTCCGGGGTAGGGAGGTGGACACGCTGCCCAYGGAGGCGTGCTGAGCAGCAGGTCCTAACGCTGCGGGTTAGACCCGGCCCATCACACAAGCGCAGCGAAGCGCACCAAGCCCACTTGGCTCTGAGGAGAGCATTCATTCGCCTTTACAATAAATACTTGCTTGCAATGGATTTTCTCCTGCAATTGCACATATTTTCTCCTTAAAATGAGTACTAGGGTGTGCGAGGGAAGCTGCTGCTTTGCAAAMGGCCTTGGGAAAAGGAAGAGCTGCCTGTCCCTATCTATAAGTTAGCACTACCAGCAGTATCGATGATGAGTATGTTTTCTTTAAATGCCAATCTTGGCTTCGTAAGGAAGGAGTGGTTATGGATTGGATTTGGTGCATTGCTGTAAAGCCTCGTCTGGCTTTTGGGTCATTCTCAGATGTTCTGCTTGTGGATAGCCGAGCTTTAAAAGCGCGAGGTTTGCAAGTCTTGAGCAATTGCTGTGTGAAGCTGACAGGAGCTTTAGAACCAAACACCTCCCATGGACACAGGTCCATCAGCCCTCTTACAGCTGAAGCCTTTGCAATGGGTCACGCGGTTTGTGCAATCCATTTGCCTTACAGAGCACTGAGGAAACTTCCAAAGGGATCTGATAATGCATCACCACTCCTGCCAGGCCCCGACGGCAGCTACGCAATGGAAAACAGCGGGATCCACGCTCCGGTTCCCGGGAGAACGGACCAGAGTCCAGCACGAGGAGGATGCAGCAGAGGCTACGGCCAAGATTTCGGAGATTTGGTCTTGAGGTTTCCATAGGACCCTGCTCCCGCTCAGAGAAAGAGCAGCCACCAAACAGTCAGTGCTACGATCACAAGGAAGGACATCATAAAGGGAATACGTGGAGACGGAAAAACACTAGAGTACAGCTGACACTTTTTGAGTGATTTCTGCTCTTCAGGAATTGGAATAGAAACCTTTGGCAGAGTTGCTTCATCTGCTGGCCAGGCAAAGGCTGTCTCAGTAGGTAGCTCCTGCTTTTTTAGTTTGTCTTCATCCTGTACTAACAGAGGACGTTCCTGTGTCTGCTTTCGTGGTAGAAGATCAAGAAAGACAGAGAGAGATGAACAAAAATGACAGATGGAAAGTGCCCAAAATGAGACTTGGAGGTGTGCAAAGGGATAGGAGAGTTTTGCTCTCAATTTAGTAGCAAGCTGCTCTCAAGAACCAAAGCTCTGGCAGGTGAAATTGCATCCCTGTCCGAGCTACAAAATATGGTTCTCTTCTCTCTAGAGAGCTCAGGAATTTCTGCATCATGATCACRTGTGTTTTGCAGCTGCCTCCCAAGAAAACTGAGCGTTTAGAACCAATACTGTGTTTTGCAGTTGGAATGGTTGCGAAAACGGTTGATTTTGCCGTATTACAAACAGAAACGGCATCGTACAAAACGCAGCCCGTGCCAACTTCCTATTCTCTCCTGCCCTTAAAAATCAGGGCTTGTTAAGTAACTTTTGATATCTAGGCTGCAGTGCAGATACAAAACTGTTTTGTAAAGTCCCGGTGATAGTATCAAAATTTCAGTTGTTTTCAAAACTTCACTTTAACGAGCAAAAAAAAACATGTGACATCTTAGAAACCCGGCGCGTGGAAGAGGTCTGATGTCAGTGTTAAAAACCTCCTGCAGTCGGCTTCATACGACAGCACATTTGCTTCTGGAGTCTGAAGAAGGTAAAAACCAGAACAAGTGAAAACATCACACAGGATCATGCAAGGGCTTCCGCACTTTCCTTGAAGAAAGAGGAAGACTGTGGGAAATGGTGYAACCCAGGCAGGATTTCTCCATGCCTTCATTTGCCAGGCATGGGCAAAGTCGCCCGGGCCTACGAAAGGAAAAATTTGGCTCTGAGCTCTCTCAGCTGAGCTAATCTCCTCTGATCAGTGCGGTATTTTGGGACTGGTTCTTTGCACACCCCCAAGTGATGAGTATCAGGGAGAAAGTAGCTCGGAGACTGGGCAGCAAAAGAAAAGATAAGATGCAAGAGTAACATGATCATCAAAACAAAAACGGAAAGAAAGACAACATAAAAAGAACAGGGTACAGTTAAACTTTCATAATTGCTTTTCTCTCCGAATACACGGTTACATCTTGCATGCAGCTTTTTCGACCCGGCCATGCACCCAAAATAAGCAAACTGCAAGCTGCAAAAGCTGCAGCAGTGCCACGAGTCCAAAGGTAGGTGTTAGGGCTGGAGGCTGTGCGCTATGAAACTACTCAATGGAGCCAAAAGAAAACCAGCATCCAGCAGCTGCTGTCGGGTTTTTGCTTGGTGCCATGGCAAGAGCAATACCCTGGTCCAGAAGCACGTATCAGAGCAGCAGCGTTACCTCAAGCCCACCAACCTGTCTCTCGGAAGATAGCACAGTGACTTTCTTGACCTGGACACACAAAGCGTGCAAGGGTCAGTTTTCTTGCGACAAAATAGAGAGGAACAGCAGAAACGCAGCCCTGACCCCTCTGTCAYCACCACAGCCTTAAGATACCACCTGTAGACACAGGACTATTTCACATGACGCGTTAGCATCCTTAGGCAGTCTAAACTGATGTGCAGGTGAAGCAAAACCTCCTTCTCTGGATGTGTTTTCCTTCTCACATCGTCAAGATGTAATTTTGGAAGTTCACATCAGAGCGTGTCAAGCTCTGGCTCAGAGCAAGACCGTTTCAAAGGTCCTACCTAGAGCTCTTGGCAGTTTCCAGAAAGGGAAACCGGGAGCTGCGCGCAGTGCCAGCGCGGTGCCGAGCACTGCGGCCTCGGTGGGGACGGCAAAGCAGCCGGTCAGCGCGAGGCRCCGGCCCCGAGGAGCCCACGAGCAGGCACCACGGCACGGCTTCCTCACACCCAACCCACAACGTCGTTCCGGAGCTGGTGCCGGCGGCTCGCAGAGCCCCTGCTCGATTCCACCTGCACATCCGTGCGCCGCAGGCTACGCCGGGCAGGGCTCGCCAGCACCCCGCTGTGTCCTGCTGGGACAATCCCTGCAAAATTTCCACTAACGCTCGGCAACCAAGCGGCGAAGTCCATCCAGGAGCAAACGTGAGCACCAAAAGCCTCTTGTGTCCATTCTGGGAACTCTCCGTCCACAGCAAGATTATTTCCATTTACAAAGTACCACCCTTGCCCTGGTTTGAGGCTTAAAAGCAAGTTTATCTGCAGAGCTGTGGGCAGGAAGGGGAGAAGCTGGGGTTAAGCTGGGAGAGATTTTGCCCCTGTCTTCCATGYAGCCGGAATTTCATTTCTCAGCTGCAAGGAAAATCACAGTCGCTGCTTAATGGACTGATTACCAGGGGCTCCTCASTACTAGTCTCTTTAGGGAATCAGCAGCAATAAGGTGAATGCTTCTGTGAACGGGCTTCCATCAAGCACAAACAAGCCTAAGGTAGCCACAGGAGTCTTTCTGAGAGCCTCACAGAGCACCCAGCTGGGTAGGAACTAGCAGATCCCAATACAAGAGTTAATTCAACGACAGCATCAAAACCCTACAGAGAACAACTTGACCTTATATTCCCCCCTCCCATACTTCTGTGAAACCAACAGTAAAGCACCAGTACTTGTGGAGACCGCTGAATTTGCTCAAAATCACGTCGACTACACCCCGAACCAAAGCCTAAGAGGTGTCAAGGCCGAGTTGCCGTGGTACTCACTCCGTCCGCTCCGCCGGGAATCTGCCCGTTGACGTTGAGGGTGCGGAAGGGCGAGTGGGCGGACAAGCGCTTGTCCCATTCGCTCGGCCGCGGCTCGGGGACGGACTCCATGAAGTTCTTCTTGAGCTCGCTGATGTTGGCGTGGTGCTTCTTTATCTCCTCCTGGGTCTTATCCAGATCCTGGCACCAAAGGAAAGCGGGGTGAAGGGGCGGCTGCCGGTGCCCGCGCGCCCTGCACCCCGGGGCCGCCTGCTCTCGCCCGCTATCCCCAGCTCGGAGCCAGCGGCGGCCGCTTCGGGACGCACCGCCAGCACCTCAGGCTGCGCCAGAGAGGTGACAACCTCCAGGCTCGGCCCTACAGAGGACTGCCTGGTTTATGGCCAAGGCCTCGCCGTTTGGGTGGGATTTGGGGCTTTTAAGGCGAGGGGTTTTGTTTTTTCCTCTCCTCTGCACGCCTGAACATTCAAGGGAAATCCATAAATTACACTAATGCTTAAACACTTTCCCTCGATTTTACTCAGACTCTCTTCATTCCTATTCTGTCATTTTCCCAGGAATTATCTTTGGCCCCACTCTATCTAAACGCACTGGCCTCAAGGCAAGTCAGCCCCATTCAACCAAATCATTTAAAAATAGCCTTTCCTCGCAAGCAAAGCGGAGTTTTGTTTAGATCAAAGCTTTTGCATGAAAGAGGCTGAAGCCAAAACCAGCTTTTCTGGACAGTGCCAAGGAGAAGCCAACATCCCCCACGAGAGGGTGGGGAAGTCAAGTTAGCAAAAGCACCCCAGCCAAACTTCACTCTTTCTGTGTTTTCGGTTGTTACGCAGCTTGTTGATAAGACAGGAGAGCAGGCAGGTTTTCTTTTATTTCTGGAAGCAAAAGGCTCCCCAAAGGACCTCCCAGCACCCGCGATCCCGCAGCTCGGCCAGACCCCGCAGCCTCCAGCGTGCGAGGCCAGAGGCCCAAAGGCCTCCCGAACCATTTTTGCTCTTTTTGGCACAGTTGTGGGGAAAAACAGCCTGGCGGGAGTCCCAGCTGCAAGCACAAGGCAAGTGCCAGCGAGTTAGAAGAAAAAAGCCCAGAAAAGAGCGCTGAGGACGCCCCGGAAAACAGAGGCCACGAGGCCCTGCGACTGCTTCAGCTTCGGAGAAGAGAGGCCGGCCACCATGTCCTCCTGCCACGGCCCCGCCAAGGTCCAGCCTGAAAGTTGGCAGAGGGGCTAAAGCCGCGGGGYGGTTAGGGAAGCAGGAGCGGAGCTCAAAGCGCGACGTCTCTCCCGGGGTCTGGCCCTTCGGGAAAGCCCACGGAGCGCAGGGCACCCAGGGCGGAGCGGGAAACGGCGCCGGAGAGACCAGCGASAGCTCCCGGGAGCTGGGGGCAGCGGCCGCGTGCTCGGGCGCCGGGAGCGCCGGCAGCACCTGCAAGAGAAGCGCCCGCTCGGCRCCCGCTCCGGCACCGCGCCAACGGGAAAACGCCCTTGGGGAGCCGTGGGGGCCGGTGGAGGCRTCGGAGACGGCCTAGGGGAAGGGACGGCGCCGTCTTCCCGGCCGGATTCCTGCTGGCGAGCGGGGATGGGCTTGCTTGAAACCGGCATCAGGCCCAAACCCCCCCCCCCCGGAGCTGCAAGACTTCCAAAGTGACGGTTAGCAGGAGGCCAGGTCGATAGTGCCCTTCCCAGGGCCGCGCCGCTCGCCGCGGGAAGCGCTGCCGGCTGCCGRCGCTGCAGCTTCCCGGGAAACCACAGCACACGGCGACAAGAGGATCGGAAGCCACAGACGTCTTGGGCGCACGGTGTGCAAATATAGGATTGGCACAGTCTGTCCTGAGACGATGCTCGGGGACCAGGGGACCAAGTCCCCCCCCAGCTTGCTCCTCCACTGCCGTCCTCATGCCTCTGTCTGCAGCTTAGCATGGTTTGTATATTTTAGAAGCTACATTTTCCAGTGCTTTGTCAGCAAAACTCCCACATTTCAAACAAAGAACAAGTTTTAAATGGGGTTTGGGTCGCTCTGAGCAGGCAACTTGCTGCCCAGGAGTCTCAGGACAGACCAGGCTGAGCACGCAGCTCTGCCAATCATATATTTTAGATCAGTATGAAAGAATGAAAATCAAAAGAGGCAGAAGGAAGAATACCTGCGGATAGGCATGTTTACTGCCAGCATGCAAAAGCGTATTAAATTAATAAAAAAAAGTCTGTCATGCAAGAGCATGCAAAACCAAAGGCAGCAGCAGAAGAGGAAGAAAAAGTTCAGCAGAGAATGCAGAAGGTCGAGGCAAACGCAACTGAAAAAAGTGTCGAGTTCATACAAACCTCCAACATTAAATTGCTATGCCTGATATAAATGTTTTCACCATCTAGCCTCTTTGATCTTTTCTGTGAAAATGAAAGAAAGGGGGAAACAAAAACAACAAAAAAGGAAAAAAAAGAAAGAAGAGAAGCACAAAAAATTAAAACGTTGTTCTTGCGGGAATTCACAAATTGGCAAATAAAAAAAGTCAACGCAATGTTTAGAGCGCAGCGCTGGGCCAACGTGGGATGGGCCATGGAGCCACAAGAGCACCGGCACTGAGTCACCACTGGATGTGGAAGGTCATGGAAAACGGGCAGATGCAGCGAGGCCTTTAAAGAGACAGTTCCCCAGCATTTCATCGGCTTTTTGCCCATTTATTTATTTATTTATTTATTTATTTATTTGCTTCCCCTGCAGCATCCTCTGCTCTTGGCAAGGAGGAACGGCACCCCAGAAGCCTGGCACAAAGTAACAGCTCTGTGTCCCTGCGAGCCAGCGCGCGCGCTCCCCGCAGCACCTGCAACTTCATCAACGCCTCCAGGTTTTAAAAAAAGCATTATTTGGGAAAAAAGCATTGTTTTAAAAAAACATTATTTTCCATAAAAAAGCATTATTTGGGGATTTTTTCTTTTGCTTTTTTTTTTTTTTTTTTTTTTTTGTTTTTTCTGGATTGCACAATATATCTCTTTCTTTGGATTTCAGCTCTATTTATTACAGAGCAGCAAAGATGAATTTTGTGCATCCAACCAAGCCCATTTCTCCACATTATCCAACATGAAGACTCTTAGAGCTGGGAATGGGACAAAAAGCTGTTCACTTTGAAGCCAAATTATTGGCACCTGCAGATTCAAAAGAATAAATAAGCGYCCAGCCCAAAGCACAGGGAGAAAGTGGAGCACTGTCTTTTTAAAAGGGWTATGTAGGAATGATATGGCAAAATTGTTTGGTGAAAGGGTAAAGTGTCTAACCTTCCTCATTCTTATCAGTTCTTCCTCTTTCTCTGCAGGCTGCTGCTGTTTGGCAGTGATAAAAAAAAAAAAAAGATACAAGAAAAATGTTGGTTCATTTAATTATGTTGAACCTCACTGTATTACCTTAAAAAAAAAATAGGCATGAGCAGCCTCACTGAATTATCAGCACAAACCTGGGGCTGATCACCATCCGCAGTGGGTACGGTGACCTCAGTGTGCGTTTTCCCCACCTACATTCGGGAAATAAAGCGGTAAAAACATTTCTTGTTAGTAGACTGGCTTTCAAGACACAAGGTAGTTTCAAAACGCAGCTGCACCGAGTTGCTTTTGAACTGCTGGGCGAGCATGCGGCGGACACCCCAGCCCCAGCGTGCAGCCTCGTGCACCCCGTTAACTCCAGCGCGGCTCTCGCGGACAGCCCGTTAGTCCCACGGCGCTTTGGAAACGATCCCTTCAGCCTGGAGACCTGTCAGGGGGGCAAAGGGGGCCTCTCCGGGGCTCGCGACAGCGTTTTTGGCTGGCTTTTTCTCATTCCGTTTGCAGCTGGATCCCGCAATGGAATCACCACCCAAGGCAACGTGGTCAAATTACCCCCAAGCTTGTCCAGACCCCAGAAATGTTATGGTTTCACATCGTCACTGAGATGAGACCTAACTATAAAATTAAGCTTAATGCTCCATGAGTAAAGAGCCCAGACCACTGAAGCATTTCGTATCTCAGGAACACCAAATTTGTCAAATAATGCAATGGTAAAAGCATCATTTGGTGTTAGATAATGTGACACAGCTACATCTGAGGAACACGGTGAATTTGGACAGTTTGAATTGACAACCAATCTTTCCCCAGAACTATACTTGGGGAAAAAAAAAATATTTACCTTTGAAATATTTGGGGAAAAAAGTGCATGAACTGGAGAGCTCCCTGGAGAGCCGCATCGCTCCAGGAACACCGGGAAGAGCTAGACCTTCACAAACTGTTTTTGAAGGTGTGCACCCTGTCGTGACCTTCAAAGCCCGGTAAAAATGTGTGGAATACGAAGGGTGCTGTAGTAGGAACTATAATTTTGCCTGTTTTTGTTGGCTTAACTACGTGTACATCAACGGGCATCAATGGGAGAGCCACCCATGCAATTCCCACTGGGTTTTCAGTGAGTTTTAAGCTGGTCGATGGGAACGATGGCAACGCTGCCTTCGCCTGCACCTCCTCCTCCTTCCTCGCTTGCTGCGCTCAGGGATGGGATTTCCCTTGGACGGGGGAGAAAAACCCGGCTGCGAACCCCGGGAGGAGCCGCTGGCGGCGCGGCCCTCCCCAGGCCGCTCCGCTCGGCCGTACCTTGGCCGCCTCCGGCTTGGCCTTCTCCGTGGGGACGTCGTGGCGCTTGGTCTCGGTCCTGGCGGCCTCCTCGCGGGGCGCGGCGGCGGGCGGCGCGGTGGCGCCGTGGCTCTGCGCGATGGCGGGGGCCGACGTGGGCCGCGGGCTGCGCTCGGGCGTCACCGCCGCCACGGCTGCGCGGGGGAGAACGCGGCCGTCAGCGCGCTCAAAGCACCCGGCCTTCCACGGGACCGCGAAGGGAGCGGGAGGAGGAGGAAAGAAGTGAGGGGAACGAAACCAAGATGTTGAGCGAAGCGGTTTGAGCTTAGTACGGAAAGCAGAGGTCGGTTTTACCTTGATGGATTGAGGAAATAAAATAGAACAAAAGCCCAAAGATGGTTCACACAAAGCAAGCCTGCGCCCTGCAGAGCGGCCGCGCCAGGGGGGCTCGGCGCTCCTGGAGGCCGTCGATCCCGGGACACAAGCCCATCGCAACAGGAGCGCTGGCGCACGGAGGCCGAGGGCTGTGCCAGGCTCACGCRGAGGCCCTCGGCCGGAAAGGAACGGCTTGTGGAAGAGCAACGCCAGTTCCTCCATCACCCCCTCAACCTTCGCACTGGTTCCCCTCCAAAAATCAACCCCGGTTTCTCCAGAAAACCCCGCAGCAGCTTCTAGGTGGGTTTCTAAGCAGACTCGGAGCATCTCTCTGAGATGGGTCTCTCCTGCCACAGTAGCAGCCACCGCAACGAGGGGTCACCCATCACCTCCCAGTCAGGACATGTGCAGAAACCAACACTGTGCTCCAAAAGCATCAGCTCTCAAGAGAAGGATGATGGGCCTGAACACCTCCAAAAGCACTTGCATTCAAGCCTTGTGTCCCAACTATGGTCCATGGTGTCCTCCTATAGACACCAGACGCCATTTCACTCTCCAGAATTCTCTATTTTTGTGGCCATTCCACTAAAACTAGTGATTTGAAATAATTTATTTGGCATGATTTCAAGTTCACCTAGTCCTAGTTTAKGAAGAACGACTCACAGTGTGTTACTTATCCTAGTTATTAGCATTACTGGCCAACTAGKGTCCCTCCAGCTAGGGACACCAGAAGATCTGACATTAAAAACAAAACAAAAAAATCATTATTTTAATCAAAATGTCAGACTTTCCGCTTTGCCTTTCTCTCAAAGCTACCTGAATCTCATTCGTGTGTATAAAACTGGTGCAGAATAAACTATCTCCATGGTCAAGAACATACAGGATTGAGGGGTGAAAAAACCAGAGCATGATTTAGGGGGGGCAGGGAGAGGGGGGACTGAAATTGTAACTTCCAACACAAATTTCTATACACTGGCACTGGCTGAAAATCCACGGATCCCAAGTCATCACCCCCATCCCCATGACACCTGCCATTCCCCAACACAACAGGTCATCCCTGCAAGCCAGGCGTTTCGCTCTCCTCTCAGGAAGGAAAATGGTCCCACGTCTTGAGGTCATTTATGCCACAGAAGCGGTGACGGCCACCGGAGAGGCCGCACACGGGGGCTGCAGGACGGCAGCACCAAGGGGGACAAGGACACGTCAACCACACAGGTGTGAAAAGCCATTCTGTGGTACCTGGCTCCTTCTGGACTGCTTCTACTCCTCTCATCACCATCAACTTGTCTTCTGCTGCCTCCTTGTCTTCYGGGGCACTTATCTCAACTTTGCCAAGAGCATGTTTGGCTAAAAAGATCACGAATACATTAAAACACCACCTCAAAAAGCAAACGGGAAAGGAAAGGCTGCCATGAGCAAGTCCCAGAATCGGCAAGGCCACCTCTCCTTGCAGATTTCTGCATCTTTTGCAGAGCTTGTGAGCAGCAAGACACACAGGAGAAATCATGGAAGATGCAAATCTTCCCCTCCACCACTCGGCAAWGAATTAGGTGCTGTCCAGAGCAGCGTGACTTTAGTTCTTTCTTCTTGACGAGCTACTTTTAGCTATTTTGAAATACGACATTGGATTTAAACACGAGAGCAAAATCTGCTCCAATGTGTGGAAGCACCATCACTAYCCAGGCCCAGAAAATTGCATCTCCTGGGACCAAAAGTGCCCAGGGGAGGCAAGGAGCTGGGCCTAGGGAAGCCCAACCAGGGCGGCGTGCTCAGGGGCTGATGCATCCYTGCAAGAAGCTGCCTTTTCGGCACCGTTCCTGCAGCACGTGGGAATGGACCTTGCAGAGAGGGCCAGGAGTGTTAGAAGGGCACCGCACACCACTGCCGTTAAGGTCCCCGCCGAGCCGAGGSTCGGGGTGTAGCAGCGTCAACCCCACCGCAAACACCCGCTGCCCTAGAGCACGTCAACCCGGGCTGGGGGTCACAGCAACAGGCGGAAGGACCACAGGCGGCTGCGGCAGCCACACCAACGTCAGGCGCCGCTGCGGTTGTACCTGACAGGTTCTGTATGGGTTCCAGCACGGCTGGCTCGGCAACAGGAGCCGTAAGCACCTCTGCCTTCTCCTCCTCTTCCTCCTCTGCAATGGGTTTCATTTCAAAGCTTTCTAGAGTGCGCTTGGCTAGAAAAAGGTTTGCACGCRTTAACGGAGCGGCTTGGAGCCGCATGGGCACGCGACAGCGAGCGGAGACTCCTCTCTGGGACAACATCCCAGAGCTGCACAGGGGTTTTTTACACTAGAGTGACCAAGCTTCGTATGTAAAAATTTACAGCATGCATCAAACTATCCCAGTGGCTCTGATGCTCCTTCTCCAGCTTCCGTCTTTACGGGTTTTCACTCTCAGGGCTGCAACGCGCTCGGAAGAACTCAGGGCGGGACAGAGCTTGGGGGATTTGCCACGCTCCGTGAAAGCGTGAGGTGGATCTCGGAGCAGCAAGACAGCAGTGGGAGAAGAACTCTGCATAACTAGCAGGATGGAAGAAGGAAAGCGGAGCGGCACGCGGTGCTTTTGCAAACGAATCCCCTCTCCAGCTCTGGTGCTCCGCGGGCGTTGGACACTTAAGCGAGGGAGAAAACAAGTATTTGACAATTCAGCTGCTGTGGTTTGCTGACTGGTATTCAAAACCCACACGCCTCGATAAAGAGGACTTTATTATTTATTAAGTAGCACCTGTCCAAAGAGAATTCCAGGCTCCCCATAGCACATTGGGAAGCATTTCTTAAATTACAATAAAACCCACAAAAGGCTTCAAGAAATGTAAGCAGTTCCTGAGATGCAGCCCTACAGAAACTTTAAAAGAGGTGTCAATATGACAGGAAAAAGAAATTAAGCTTTCAAACCCAGCATTTTAGAGAATACCCAAATTGGACACAGAGACAGATCTGAAGTGCCAGCACAACCCAACTGTCCCCCACGTGCCCAGCAGAACGACAGTCTAGCGAGGGGCAATGCAGAAATTTGGTCTCTGTCTCTCCCGGCCCATGTGTCCTCCGAGCACGAAACTCTCCTCGCAAAGAAATGAAAAGAAGGAAGCTGCCAGATTCGGTGAAACCTCTCAGAGGTGTCGAGAACAAGCATGTGAAGGCTCTCAGGGGGGAAAGGACAGGCAATGCGCTGCAGAGATTGGTAGCCACCACCACAGCTATACCTGGCTTCTCTCGGGACTCATCCACGGGTTTTGATTCGGGAACCTCAACCACCACCACCTCCTCCTGCTTCTCTTCCTTTACGGCTCTGAACTCAACCTTTTGAGTCGCACGTTTCGCTGGGGAAATTGTGCACATGTTAACAACTGCCCCCCCGAGCCGACGCAAAAAGGCTGCAGGTTTCAGCGGGGACGGACCCGCTCGGTCCCCACGCTGCTCTGGGCAAGCTCAGGGACAGGATTAGAGCAGGGCTCGGCCTTCCGCCCCAGCAAGGCCCCTCGCCTGGCGAGCTGGGTCCTAAGGGTGTGCACGGCCATGGGGGGACGCGCGGCGCGGGCCCGTGCGCCCAGCCCGGGCAGCCTCACGCTGCAGCGACGCGGCTGCTTTGCTTTGCTCTGGGCGTCGTGGGTGCGGGACGCAGGTCCAGCCCGGCCGCGCTCCCTGCGGCGCTCGTGCAACTTGCAGGGCTTGCAGCGTGACATGCAGGGGCTCAGCGTGATGCTGTTCGTGCTCTGTCRGGTGCCCGCGGGCAAAGGATCCTAATTTTAGGATCCTAATTTAGGAGCAGCCCTAGATGCAGACCACCGGGAGCAAAGAAATCTGGCCCATCCAACTGTTGCATCGCAAACTTTGACATAATCATCCCTTAAACAACCTGATTTAAACAAGAAAAGTATCAAGTATTGGTGGCAAAAAACCTTCCCCTCAGGGAAAACAATACTATTCTTCTAAAATGATTTAAAAAAAAAACAAAAACAAAACCCAGAATGAGTTAATTCTGGATTTGCTGGAAGAAATTGTATTGAGAAGCAATGAGGAAATACCTTCAGAAACAGAACTTTGCTACTGGCCTGCAACACCCACTTACGGCCACAAATCTTCTTTGCCAGGGAGTTACTGGCAGTGTTGCTACTAACATCTTGTATCCCCGTCTTGAATTCAGTACGAAACTATGTTCTTTTTTTCTTTAAGCCAAGCAAATACTGACTTGTAATAACGGAGCATTTCAATGCCTTGAGGGTGATCATAACTGAGAATTCGCTAAGAGCTTTCGGCTGCGACCAAAGCCCGCGCGCCCGGCGGCGGCGGGCAGGGCCGAGGCGCCGGCACTGACCTCCGTCGAGGCTCCGGGACGCTCTCTTGCTCGCCGTGCGCTCGAACTGCGGCGCGGGCCGGTCGATGAGCGCGCTCGCCTGCCGCGTCTGCGCCTGCGTCCGCCCGCTGTAGCGGAACTTGGAGCCCAGCGCCAGGAAGCGGCTCTTGGGGATGGCCTCCGTGGACGTCAGCCTGGGAGCAGCCGCAGCGGCACGGGAAGACGTCGAGAGGATGCAGAGGAGAAGCCAAAATACCAGTTAAAGACGTCTCTRCGTGCAGCGATGAGGAGCAAGACAACATGCACTAACCACAAGCTAACGTTGCTTACTGCAAATGGGATAGCAAACCTCCCACTGCAAGCTGCAGTATGAATACTTAATTTCTCTTCAAGCATTTCACTCCAGTTTTGTTAGACCTTGAGGAGCACTCGAGGAGCATCCGTGCTCAGCAAATCTAAAGCATTCGTTACTCAGCACTCATCAAGGGAAAGCCCAGAGTTAAAAAAAGCCCACCTGAAAAACGTGTGATGTTCCACACACACTTTCCACAGCTTCTTTGCCGCTCGGTAACTCGGTAGCTTGAACCCAATTGTACTTTCATATTGTTCTTGCTGCAGAAAAAAACATGTCATTTAGGCAGAGCAAGAAGTGAGTGTGGCAGAAGAGCTTGTCCCCTGCCCACCAAGCTTCTGCATGGGCACAAGATGCTGGTCTAGTCCAGGAAAAGCCCGATTTTTCCAGAAAAAGGGGGTAATCTTTTTCTCACTTCTGCTATGAACTTAACTTTAAACTCTACTTTCTGGCCGGATCGGGGGAATACCTCGCTGTGCCAGGAGATGGTGCTAGATGACACTTGTTTAAATCGTCACCATCTATTCTTAACTTCAATAAAGCTTTATGGTAAGGACTGTATTTACTACCAAGGGAAGATCAGAAATATAAAACAGTGTAAAATGCCCATTCAGAAGAAAGCTTGCTGCTTAAGTTGGTGATCAGTGGAAAGCAATTAAAGAGAACAAGACATGGGGACAAGTGGGTCGGAACCTACCTCCCCTGGACGAATCTTAATAAAGAAGCTGCTGCGTTTGTAGGAAATCTTCAGCACTTTGGGCCAGGGGAAGCGGTTGATTCTCAGCTTATCTTTGTAAACAAGAAGGCCACTAGAACAGACTCCCAGAGTGATATCCACTCCTTCCAAGTCCTAAAAGAGCAAAGGGAGATTTAAGCAGGGACCAGCCTCAGGGTACACGTTCCCGSTCGATGTTTGAACTCCTCCTGCCTTTCCCTGAGGCTTTGCTGAATTTACCTACCCAACTCCCAAACCTCAAGCAGTTCTTAGCACCTTATGCTARAAGTTACGCAGTGCAGAAGCCAGGGACACACCGCTGCCGCTCACCTTGGCTTGGTGAAGGTCAACTCCATACATAGACAGCTTTTTGGCATTCTCCAGAAATTCCAGGTCTGCTTGGGCTGGAGTCATGGATCTGAGGAAAGAGAACAGAGGCTTGAGATTCTCTGGGACTGTTACTTTACAGGACGCGTTAGTTTTCCCAAAACCGTTTACTTGCTAGATCCCCTTTTGCTTTGAGCACCAACATATCTGTGCCCAGATTAATTACTCCATTTCTTTGCATGCACACAGCTGTGCTATGAGATATCCTCATAAAATGGATACACCTTTTTTTCTTTCCTGCAGAGCTGTAAGATAGCAGACAAGAAAGCAAGTTATCTGGTGAGTGCTGCAGAGGGTCCAAAACTCAATTCTACAGAAAAAAAAAGACTACTTTAGCTCCAGGAAAGGGCGGCAGGTACCGTCCCCCTCAGTGCACTCGCTGCCACGAGACCTTTCCAGGCTCTGCTTTTGTTCTCCGGACAAAGCCCAAGGGCAGCTGGAATCACTTAGCAGAGGCTCCTACTGGGACAGTCGAGATGAATGGGGTATTTTCTGGGAACAGATGGTGCCGGGTCTGCGGGAGCGGCGACGCAGCCCAACTTTGGTTAACGGCGACGTGCCCGTGACGGAGGCTGTTATCAACGTTATTGAAGTGCCCTTACTATTAGCTTCAGTTCTTTAGATGCATCCAACAGCTCTGCTGGGAGAAGCTCCGATCCCATATATTTTGTTTTATTACCAGGCTGGCGTCTTCCTGATTACTCATGTACGTTTTGATTGCACATCTAAGAGAGGTTATTCAGCTGGGTGCTACGGGGCAGACAACCCTATGCAGGAGGTTAAGAGCAGTCCCCGTGTCCGGCCGTGCCCTGCACGGGGCAGATGCAGCAGCAGCGGCAGCGGCGCATGAATAATTCAGCAGCGCAGTCCCCCAGCTAGCGGCCTTTGACTTCAAGCCATGAAACTTGTCAGCGGCCTCCTACTTCTTCTCCCTCCTTTCCTCCCCTCTCCATGCAAATGGAGAGGCATCAATTTGCGGTATCGATCTGCGGCGCTGGGAGAGGTGTTAATGGCAGCTTTGGTAGCAGCCGGGGGCGCACGTGCCCCCTTCCCTCTGCACTTAGGAGATGAGCTCCGAGGCGGCTGCGAGGAGGTCTCCGCTTCRCTCTGCTCTGGTTAGCAGGGTAGCCCAGGCAGAGGCTTTTCACAGGGCAAGCAGCTGACAGCTCGAGACCTCCCCATGCATCGCAGAGTGGTTTTAAAGGATTTTGCCCTATAAGCCCAAGCACATCCCAGTTTCAAGGTGGCCGGCACGGGCTCTCCGCGACACCCCTGGGGCTGGCACGCAGCTCTGCCCRGCTTGGGCAACCAAAGCACTCGAGAGCTCCACACAAACAGCAAGGAACACGCGGGAAAGGCCTGTGTTACGGTGACCCTCCAGTCTGGTGCTCCAGGGGGTCACAGGAGTCAACCCTAAGAGCACACGACACGTCCGCCCATTGCCACGTTTGGGAACGGGGAGGGCAGGTTGGTTCTTCCCGGKGCATTACCTGGAATATTTCCACACTGTAAAGCGTTACTTATTAACCGGGGCTGCAGGAAAGCCCAAGCATGCTGCAGGCTACAGCACATACACAGAGCCTCCAGGCATTCATTAAAATACTACTGCGATATTTCACATTGGCTTTCTGAAAACAGCTTCTTACGCTAGCAGGGAAAAAGACTGCCAGAAGACTGCCAGGTTTTAGGACTCTGCTATAGCTAACAAATATTAGAGTTTTTTCAAATAGCTGATTTCCTTTCAAAGTTGAAAATTCATGTCTTCAGCATGCTCCTGATGCCAGTAAAAATAAYGGTGCAGCAAAAAATCAAAAGCACAAAAGAGAGATGGGGAAAACACTAAAAAAACAGTGTTTTCAAATTGCTTCTTTCACTTTACCTGTAYGTTTTATGAAGCTCCACCACCTTCTCTTCAAGCTCTTTAGTCTGGTTCGGGGCCAGTTTAAATTCTGTGATATAATCTGCGCTGTGCAGTTCTGGATCGTAGTCTCCCAGCTCCGACTGGACCGTGTAAGATCCCAGCAGAGCCAAAGTGGCAAAGGAACAGGGCAGCCGCCCCGTTAGGATGTCTTGTCTGAGCTGCAGACACAAGTAGTATCTGCAGGAAGAGAAGAGAAAAACACAGTTTATTAGAAAGCAGGTGACCTTACGGAACGTGTTCCCAAGGGTCAAGCAAAAACTGTTCTTTACACCGCTGCTGCAAGCAACATGAATACACAAATACATGAGGAAAACCATAGGAGAATTCAAAAAAATTCTATTTCAATGAAATGTTCTGTTTGGCCACTGGTTCTGGTGGTTTCCTGAAAGCACTGGCTGCTTTGCTTACTGTCCCTTAGCAAGATTAATAGGTAGTTCACCTGGTTATGTCCTCTGTCAGCTGCGCAGGATCCGGTGGATAAAACTTGACATTGAAGGTGAAATCCCAGGGGCCTCCTGTAAGGACAAAGAAAAGTTTGGGCAAAATCCACAGAAGCACAAGAGCTTCCTTCTAGTCAGTCTTTATAAAACGCTGCAAATACTCAAAATCTTCAGCAGAATCTTCAAAACTCAGCTGACAGGTTGTAATACTGATTTCAATAGTGCAAGCTCTACTTAAGCAGAGGGTGCAAGATGCGAGTTCTTTCCTTTCATAGGAATTAAGATGTAACCACAAAAAGACACAGCAGGACACACGGACACACTTGCAAGACATCACCACTTGTGGAAAACACAGAATTTATTTGCTAGCAGGCTGCATTACTCCGTATTTTATCACCTTTGGAAAAAAAAAAAAGATTCATGCTGAGAGGTGAGATGGGTGGATAGGTTAAAGAAACAGCAATTTATGACTCAAGACCCAATTTTCAAATTTCTTGTACAGAACAGATGTGTTAATTCACTCAATTGCCCCATTCAACAGGGCTGGATCGGTAGATTAGACCCCACACAGYCGGTCCCAGGGAAAACCGAGACTTAAATTGAGACGTGGACGCACCTCTGCCGTACCAGAGAGCGCCCTGAAAGCCAAGCCTTGCACAGAAGCCCGGATTTGAGAGCGTGCCTGCAAATCGCCCGCCGGTTTGGCGTCAGACAAGATGTTCCTGCGTTTGCAAAGAGATTTATCCAAATCTCCGGGGGGGAGGAAGGGGAAGGAGCTCGCGTGCATTAAATTCTTACGCAACGCCGTGGCTGGGATCAAACACGAGCTGGGCTGGTTTTGCTCCGCACTGCTCAAAACAAGTTATTCTAAGAAAATAGTTTAGGCAGCAGTGGTTGCAGTGCAAGGAGCACGCGGAGCCCGGCTGCCTTTCCACCAGCAAAGGCTCTTCTAGTAAAATCAAATAATTTGCCATTCTAACTGTCTCACCGTCCCAAAACCCCCCTGCTCCTGGGCAAAGTGCTAATTTGTAACTTAATGATAAGCTGCCTTCTGCACCCCTCTGCCAGCAGCGTACCTAAAATGCCATTTTTCTGTTGAAGCAGCCAGACCTTAGGCTTTTCCCTTGTGGAAAATAAGAGGCTCTACAATATTCACTGCCCTTGTCATCATACAGACGATTTCCCTACTCGTCCTGATACTATCTGAGTATATTACATATTTATCATTCTCATCCTGCTTGGATTCCTGAATAGGAAAACAGTCCACAAAGCCTTGCTTCAGTGTGTAACCTCAGGGGTTCCCAATCTCCGTGTAGATGGAAGCGGTTCCCTGACATCTATTTTTCCCTGCTGCCACAGGCGGCAAATATCTTATTCCCGTGTCTATATAGCAAAAGGGAGAGCAGAGATCTCCATAGCGGGAACGTGCAGCAAATTACATCTTCCTGCAAGGAAATGCTGCCAGTGTGCCCAAATGCAGAGCATCACTACATCTTAGGGAAAAAAAAAAATAAAGAAAGGCTGCACAGACTGCTTGAACTTGTGCTGATCCCTGCCAGACACCCGCGCTTGAACTCGCCGTGATCCTCGGGTCCCGCTTTGCACGCCAGGACAGTCTGTATTTAGGAAAGGGGGCGGGAAGGGGAGGGAACCACGCAGACACCAGCAGGATGAATGTGCTCCACTTACCATGAACCTGCTTTTTTATTTCTTTGGCAGGATCCAGCCACGTCTGGAAGAGGATAAGAACATTCACAGTTTAACAGACGTTTCAGAAACACCAAAGCAAATGGCAATTTGCTAAAAATACCGCGGGAAGGCTACGCTCGACACTACCGCGGCCATGGAAACACCGTATTGGGTGTTTTGCAAATTTTTACTCCAGTCTGCAAATCTCAGTGGGGGCATTTCCACTCCTTTACCTACAGAGTATTGTAGGAAGGAAGTACAGGAATATGTCTTTATTTAGGTTTTTTTCCCTCGGGGTGATCCTATCAATTCAGCATTTCATCCAACCAAGTATTCCACGAAACCACATGGACACTATTTAAGGAGTAGAAAAGAAAAACAAAGGAAAGACGTGATGCTGGCTCCTAACATGAAAGCAATAGCTTCCAAGCAAAGYGACCTGTGCACAGAATGTTGGGCACGATCAGATCCCATCCGCACTATTCTTAGCAGCAAGGAGCGGCGGTGTCTCCGCAGCAGCTGCCGCCCACCCCGCGCGCGGGCACTAAGCGGCACCAAGCGTTTCTCACGGGCGCGGGAAGCAGCCAAAGCGCGTGTTTGTGTCTGTTCTAGGCACCCGCCCTCACCCTTACACCGCTCAGGAGCAAGCCCAGCAGGACTTGCTGCTCAGAGAGGTGATTCTAGTGACCTAAAGGGGCAGCTCTGGCACCCCAGGGGCAGCCACACGTTCGTGGCTCCCATCCTGCTGCCTAATCCAGCGGGCGGTGATGGATGCAGGGATGCCCAGTGCTTTTATCCATCGCCGCGGCACCAAGCGAGAGGAAGCAATCCACTCTTGGATGCATTCTCAGGAAGGCTGGATCCCTGCAACAGGGGAAAGCCATGGGGACGAGCTTCTCCCGTCGCGGGTGAAGCGCAGGCGCTCGTCCCGCTCTTCCCCATTCCAATAGTTTCTCCCAGTGAATCAGTAACGGGGGGTCGGCTCATTTCTGAAGCTCGGAGAGAGATGGCAACTGAGATTTAGAGGTTCAGTGAAACGTAACTAGAAGGATTAAAGGAAAAAGAAGAAGCGGGGGGAGATTCCCCCATCACAACAAAACAGAGACTTCCAACAGGGGCAGTTTGCTCTGGAATTAAACCCTTGCGCAGCCTGTGGCTCCACCTGCCACAACCAGCCCCCGTTTATTTAGCTGGGCATTAACAGTCCCTCCTTGCCATTATTAAGCCTTTTAATGCTGAATACTTCTTTTAGCTTTAGCGACCTCGTTCATAAGCGATTGCTGTACATGAAACGTGGGCACGGGCAGGACAGGGACCAAGGCAGCTGCTCGGGAGGACATTGAGGCCAGTGCTTTATTGCAGTTCCGYGTTCTTGGGGCCTGCTGCATTACACAGAGCTGCAGTAATTACCTACTGGGCACTGGTTAAAGCATAACCAAGAGTTTAAAAGATAAGATACGCTTGGGTATACCCAAAGACCTCAGAGCAAAACTACACCGGTAAGAGTTTCGGTATGAAAAGCTGCACGTGTSCTTTCGCAGGGTAAAACCTTAAACCAAGCCCCAGATCTCCGCACTTCCACAGCAGGATATTCTGAGTTTTGCTCCACACCCATGCCAAGAATAACCTCGTCCAAGGCATGAGCTGTAGTTGTTATTAAGAATGGCAACATTTGCCTAGGGTGGACTGGAGGGGCAAGCTACCAGGGGAAAACAAATCCAGCCTGAATWCAAAGTCTAGGATTTGTTGCACAGATTAGGTACAAGGGGAGCCCGGGGCCAGAGAGGGAAGAGAAAGTAACACCAAGGCTCTTTGGAGACCACAATGGGCATTTGTCTATGCCTTAAATGAGTATTTGGGATGTGTGTAACGATTCCTCCATCACTGACCCCCAAAGCACGGCGTTTTGCTGACTGCTCAGCCTCRTGCCTTGGGTGAGCAGTGACTACAGCACTGCGAAGGTTTTTGCAACGTGCCTGCACTCAAGTCYTCCTCTCTTAGGTAGTGGTAGCTGGTTTATCCTTTAAGTCTCAGTACAAAACAAAAAATGTTCTTTTTCTCAAGTGAGAAAATYTTAATCTTATTTAATCTTTGCAATTTAATGGCATCACTTTGCAGTAAACACCTATAATCCATTTCTTCCAGGTGAAGATCCAAGTTCATGCAGCTCAATTGATTAAAGCCACCCGCCCATAGTGATTTATTCACCATTTCCCTACCTCTATGATAACCTAATCAATTCCTTCTTGGGGAAGGGAGCATCAAAATTAAAGCTGCAACAAGACGCTCCTTACCCTGATGGTCGGCGTGTCCCATATGGCCAAGCCAAAGTAGTCTTCTTCCAGGAGGTTGAGGTGGTCACAGACCTTCTTAAGTAGATCCTGCCCTTTGGCGTGTTTCTGCARGGACAAAAGAAATCCCATGGGACGGGCTGCTTTCTGCCTGTCCTCACCGCTTGAGCTTGGGAGGGGAAAGGAGAAAGGGAATGAACCAAAACTGCCTGGCTTCCATGGGAGAAGCAGCTGCTCGGAACAAAGCAGCAGCTTTTCCRTAACCTTCTCCTCAATTTGATGAAATCCGGCGGCTCCGGTTTTGCCTCCTGCTTAGCGCGCCGCTTCTTGCCTCCAGCAACACTCTTTGAGCGTTTCTGCCTCCTGCTTTCCTTCCCCCCGCCACCAAATCCCACAGAAGCGAACGGAATGAGTTGGCCACGGGAACAAACATCCTTTTAGTCCAAAGCATGAAGGAAAGGGTCCCCGAGGCATAAAACTATGGCAACCAAAGGCAGCTCCCACCATTGGAGACGTGGGGAAGCAGCGAGTGTGGTTCCACTGACGCAAAAACAGGCATCCCTAATGCGCTGCTCATGCTGCGTCTCTCCTTTTAGTGGGATCTGCTGGCAAATGATCCAAGATCCCATGGCTTTACTCCAGTCTTTCAGCAGTGAGCTTTGAACACATATATTGCAAGGCTAAACTCAGCTTACTGCATGCATCGCCTGCAAGGACCTTAAAAGACACGYGGGAAAGCAAGATCTTCTCTGGTGCTCAGCTAGCAGAAGGTCTGAGCAGGTTTGCTCTTCTCGAACAGAGGCGCTCGTCCAAGAGGCCACCAGCTCGCCAGGACCACCCTCCTGAAAGCCTAGTGTCACCTAAGGATACTATGGCAGCACATGCAGACGAGCAGCTGGCAAATGCATCCGCACAAGCCCCGCAGCCCAAGCTCACGGGCCCGGCAGCCGGAGCTGCTGCCCCACCACTTGTGGGGACAGCGTTTTCCCTGGGGGGCTGCGAGGGAAATGCGGAGCGCCCGGCCGGGCGGCGGGCGAGGATTGCGGGCTGATCCCGGGCGGAAAAGCTCCGCTGATCCCGGGCACAACGACAGCGAGGCTGTTACACAAACTGACCTACTTGCCCAGGATCACCCAAGGTGACTCCTCTAAGGAGCCCAGCGCAGCGCCTGCTTAGCTGCTGGGATGGGGGGAAAAAAATGAGCCAACGAAGCACGCAGACGCAGCAGGTTATTAATGTTCTGGGCAGGTACTTGCACCCCAAACAGGGATTTCTGCTGCCTCTGTATTGTCCTGACAGCAAGACTCCGAGCAAAGCAGGAGGAAAGGTCTCCCATCAAGCACTCTGCAGTGTGGTTAAGCCAACATGATGATTTTAAGTTGTTTAYCACAAATATATTCAACAGCAAGCTAGAAGCAGCCTCTTTTTTAAAAACATCCAAGTCCTGTTAGCCAGGAACGTGAAAWGTCAAGGTACTCTGGGTGAAGCAAAAAGCACAAATCAACCTGGCAGCAGGTTTTAATCAAAAGAAAGACATTTAGACAACCTCAGACGGACATAAAAAACCCCTTCTAACCTGGGGTCASAACGACAGACACGCGACATCACATTTTTTAAGAGCTCCCCCCCGCCTTGCACAGCAAGGCACTGTGGAAATCACAGAGCAATCCCAAAGAAAGGTCCCTGGCACCTAGAGGTTTTACAACACACTAAGTTATTACGGCTTACAGTGAGATTTTCTGCAACAAACGTGGTCGTGTCGGGCACTGGGAGCAAAGCAGAGGTTGTCATGCACAGTTTTTTCAGGGAAGGAGAAGCAGTAAGGAAAAGAGGAGAAAAAAAAACCCYGAATGTACTTACATCCATAGAACACTCAAAGATGGTGTCATCCAGCAGGACAACTTTGCAGTACATGTTTCTGTGTCTTTTTACAGCCCTCTGGGTAGCTTTCAAATCCTTGTCTGCTTTTGGCTCTGGGGTCTCCTTCTTGGGCTCGGGTTTGGCGCGTTCCTCCTTCCCTTCCCCTTCKTCCTTGCCTTCGAGGTCTTTGCTGTCCGGGTCGTGCTCGTCCCTCCTGTCCTCCTGAGCGGGCTGAAACCCCCAGCACAGCCACATTGGCATTTGCACGTGTCAAACAAAGCAGCATCACGTGAAACAAGCATCACCCACCACGCCAGGGATCCTGCCCCACGTACCACTTGTCTGCTCTGAATACGCAACCTAGGACTGGCAGCAGCACCTGGGCAAAATCTGACTGACCTCAATTTGGAGGGTTAACAGTCCTTCAAGTCACTCGGCTGCTTATTTAATAAAGGATGCAAGAAAACAGGGTTGATTAGAGAAATTAGGGCTGATTAGATATGCAAATCTGCACCGCCTTAATGACCGTGCATAGTGAGTCTTCCCTCGTAGGCGAGAGCCCAGCAAATCAGCCACAATCCCCCCAGTTGCTCCCGTGCTCCTGGAAGGCTCACTTTGATCCAACACTCTGCAATTCCATATGGTGACACGGGAATGAAAAGGGAATTTGGTGCTGAGGTCTCACAGCCGTTTGAGCTGCCCTAGCAGCTCCCATGCTCACCGCACACCCTCTCCCTCGTGCCCACTGATGCATTTTAGAAGCCACTWGAATTCACCAAAGCAGCAGAGAGAGATGCAATTTGGGGACAGGAGGAGGAGGAAAAGGGGAGCAAACCCCTTTATTTTCAGCCTGACGTGGGCTTAATTCCCCCCGTGGCATCTCATGAAATCACACTCGGGCGCAACTGCACGGAGGCAGCGCCGGCCCCGGCGCTTCCAAACTAAAGAATGTCCACGAGCTGCTGACCGATGTTCCAGCAGCGCCGGGATCATCGGAGCGGGAGAGGCGGGCAGAGCTCGCAATGCCGCCGGTCAGCACTCAGCAAACAGGCAGCGCCACAAACGCTTTCGCAGCAGAAATATCTGCCGAGCGCCACAGTTCAAAAAGCCCCCGGCGTCGGTCGAAAAGAAGAACTAAAAACAACAAGTGCTTCGCCCCAAATGAACGGGCTGCAGGAGGGTGGCGGGGCTTCGCCCTGTGCACGCGCTCAGAGTGGGGAAATCAAAGCTAAAGAGGGGAAAAAGGGCATTCACCCCCCTTGAAGACACAACTTCTGGGCTAAAATTATGTGAGAATTTCCCATACTTCCGCCTTCTGCTATTCCCAACCCACACAGGTACAGCAGGTACGCAGAAATCACCCCATGTTTTTCAAAGGCTCACAAGCCCGGGAAAAAGAAAAGCAAGTTTCCTACTGCCCTCCTTATAACTTCATGATTTTTACGGAGTACAATTTATAAGCAGTGCCTGAAGTTGTCGATTTTCTCCAAAAGGCAGATAAAACGTAGAGCCTGCAGTTCCCTGACACGCAGCACTTCTCGGGACACCCTTCAAAACAAGAAGGGAATTACTGGGAAATAATTCCAGATTTTACCACTGCCTCGCCAGGACTTCAGCAAGTCCTTTCGGAGAAGCGGCACGAGCCTCTCGCAAACTACGAGCTCCGGAGCTTCAAGACTGGAAGTCAGAAAGCTCCTAGGAGCTGGGCTCGGCCTACAAACTGTAGAGAAATCCAGTGTGTAAGCAAAGAATATCTGCATTTGGCAAGAGCCCGGGCTGATCAGATGTCCAAGTCCTGAGCTGCTATACTGACACTCCCTGAAGTTCAAGAGATCCCCTTCCAAACTCACTCTCTTTAGGAATCCCTGCTCTCCATCACTTCCCTTACTCYGGGCACACTGAGGGTATCCGAATGAAACTACAGCAATCTCTCTGTTGTAGATTATGAATGCAAACCCCAATTCTCACATGAGCTCCTATGCCTCAGCAGAGCATCCTCAGGGGTCCTGGGCAATTTATGCTGCGCTTTGACGTATTATTAGGCTTGCAGGGGAAGGTATGGTCTGGGAGAGGAAAGCAGAAGTGAAAACTGCACTAAGCAGCACAGCTTTTGTAAAGCTATTTGGTCACAAGAGCTTTTTCAGCATCTCAGGAGTGTCTGCCTTCATGGTTCCGATTAAAGGAGACGTCTGCACGAGGGGACGGGCGTTACCTGTGTCTCCGCGCTGCTCAGCGAGTGGAGATCCAGCGACGGGTCGGTCTTGAGCTCAGGCTCGGGCGCTGCGATGGGGGCCTTCACCAGGATCTCCTCGTCGGGACTGGCTGCTACGGCCGGCTCCTTCTGCTCAGCCTGCCCCTCCTTCGGGCCATCGGCCTCCCTGTCCTCTTCGGACACCTGCGACTTGGGTCTCCGGAGAAAGGAGGAGAAGAGGCGGGAGAGGCCGCGGCCCTCGGACGCGCGACGCTCCTTCCTGCCCTGCTCGTCGTGCGCGGCCCGGTCGCCGTCRGGGGCCGCGGGCTCCGACGGGCTCTGCGCCTCGGGCGCCCGCGGGGCCTCCGGCGCCTGCGGCTCGGCCGCTGCCTCCTCCTCCTTCGCTCGCTGCCGCTCGCGGCTCTCRGCGTCCGCCGCCAAGCTCTTCTCTGTTGTCATGATGGCGCTGCAACGGAGGTGCAAAACACGTCAGAGAAGCCTCTTGCCACCACTTACGGGTGCATTAAGGTGTCTGAACCGAGCCCCGAGCTCTAGCGCAGCACCTTCCCCAGTCGCACCTCCCCGTCCTACCCACGCCAACCTGCAGAGGAATCACAGAATGTTCAAGGTTGGAAGGGACCTCTAGGGATCATCTAGTCCAACCTTCATGCCCCAGCAGGGACACCCAGAGCACAGGGCACAGGGTGGCATCCAGGCAGGTTTGGAGACCTCCAGAGAAGGAGACTCCACAGCCTCCCTGGGCAGCCTGTGCCAGGGCTCTGGCACCCTCACACCAAAGAAGTTCCTCCTCACCTGGAGATGGAACTGCCTGGGCTTCTGCTTACACCCATTGCCCCTTGTCCTGTCACTGGCCACCAATGAGAAGAGCTTGGCCCCCTCCTTCCTACATTCTCCCTCCATGAACTTACACATGTTGATCAGATCCCCTCTGAGCCTTCTCTTCTCCAAGCTGAACAGGCCCAGCTCACTCCTCATATGAGAGATGCTCCAGTCCCTTAATCATCTTTGTCACTCTCTGCTGGACTCTCTCTAGGAGCTCCACGTCCCTCTTATACTGGGGAGCCAGAATCAAGAGAAYCAAATCACTCATTTTGGTCCAGTTTTGTTTGCTTTGAAAGAAACCCCTTGATCCACCTCTGCTCATGGACCTTCCACCAGCCGCATGACACTGACGCCCATCTGCCAACCAGCCTGGCACCCGAATGTTCCTTCCAGAGTGGCTCTTAAAACCACAGGCGGATGGGCAGCTCTCCCCTTGGAGGAATCTATGTCCTGATGAGAGCAAAGGGTTAACAAAAATGGAAACAAGACTAGGCAAAGGGGAAGAGCAGGCAGCACRGAGCGCTTTGCATTGCAGTCCAACACGAAAAAAAGCATTCACACAAGAAAGCTTTCCACATGGTCCCCATTGTGGAGAGAGGGTTTCTTCAGGGTTCGTTCCATTAAGAGGATGCAACATGTGCTTCAACTCCAGCCTGGGTTGTTGACACAGAAAGATGGGAATCGCGTGAGCAGTGGATCTATTTCTGGTATCAAAGAGACCCCAAATAATCACGCTTTAGAGAGGATAGAACTAATCTTTGCGTGTTGCATCACATATATTTGCCATAATAAATTGTCGCTTTTTACACGGAGCAAATAGCACATAATCCAATAGGCCCTTCAATCCCCCAGCCTGAATCTCCACATCTCCCGCGCTCGGGATGCAGGCTTCACTTTAAGATGCCACCCTCCCATGGTTTATTGCATTCAGCCACTTTACTGTTAATCTGGCTCACACYAACTGCCAAAATAACTGGAGTGCTCCAAAGACAGGCGCCTTCCAAGCTTTCCAAAGCCCTCTTCCAGTGCCTTTAACGCAAAGGTTTCTCTTATTCCTAAGGCTCTGGAATAAAGCAACATAAGGGATCTTTTACTCATTGAATTTCTCCAGGAATGCAATTTTCCTTGGTTTTCCAGTGTGGTTTCTCGGCCAGCCAAGAGCCTTGGCCCCAGCTGGCCCCAGCACGCTGAAGGATGCTCTTCCAGACCCATCAGTGGGGCAGCAGCACCGAGAACACCGCCCCACCTGCATGGGGACACGGCCTCGGCGAGGCAGGGCTGCACGGCCACCCTGAAAGTCTCACAGGAGTTTGCTAAAATCCCAGGAAAATTAAAGGCAACTGCAAATTCAACCAAATTAAGCACCAGGCACAAGGGCACTTTGAGCAAGGGCTCCCAGAGCACCCAACAGGCACCCCAAAAGGCAGAGCTCCGGAATGCTCCGAGGAATCGCTGCCCGGCTCCAAGCTCCAAGCTGAGCTTACCCCTGGTTTAACAGGGACCAAGGAGCACGCGGGGGATTCGCCTGCCAAGCTCTGCCCGTCATTTCCTTTTATCCAAGGAATGTGGTACGGGATGGTCCCATCGGGAGGACGCGATAAGCAGGGCGCCGACGCTCTGCTTTGTAGTCACATCCCACTGGGCTTATTTGGAATAAACATGTTTGTGAGGACCAGGATCGAGACATAAACTCCGAGTGCATCTTGCTCTTAAAAATAAAGTCAAGGCTCTTCAAACAAAGCCCGAAGGAGGCCGAGCCGACGGGTCTCATCCACCCCGTAAACGCGACGGGCAGGTCCCAAACAGACGTTTCCTCTGCACGTCCTTTCTCCGCTGACATCCTCCCTTTGGAGCGACACGGCTGTTTCCCCCTGCCCTTTCAAAGCTCGCAAGCCAAGGCACTCGTAGGCAAGGTGAACAGAGGCCGCGTTACTTAATGAGCAGTTCATGGGGCCTTGGAGGCACGCGGAGGCTTCCCAAGCGAGCTGAGCTCGCACACAGCACCAGGGCTCCTGGCACCGGGGTCCTCTGCAAGTTCCTGGGAGGAAAAGCCCAAAGGAGGAGCACGGAGCTCCAAGAGACACGGCCACGCACGTGACGACAACGGCCACCGCCAGCCCAAAGCCACAAACTTCCCTTTCGCTGTATTTGCACAGGGTGGTCACAAAGGAACGTGTTACTGGTTCTCGGAAAATAAAAATGCTGCTTGTTCAGGTTGCCTTGTGACAAGTGGCTCAAAAAAAACCCTTATTTMGGTGCACGCCTATAGCTCTATCTTACCTGTCGGAGAGCTTCAGGCAAGTAAAGTAAGTTAGGCAAGTAGAGAAGAGCAGTATATGCTTATTCTCCCACCCAATATTACAATAAGTTTTTCTTGCCCCCCCAAAAGGTTAACAGCTCATTCCATAACCACCTTCCTTTCCGACAYTGCAGTTTTTGTCCTCTGTGAAGAGCCGTTTCTGGGAACACGACTGTTTCAGGGTGATGCTGTTGGGCAGATAACGGTGACCACGCGCCCTGGACCTCCCGTSCTGACCTCCCCACCCAGGAACACAGCAAACTAGCCAGAGGGGTCRGAAACGGTAAGAATGAGGTAAGAATCAGCTGAAAACAGACAAAACCTCCAATAGCTACAGAACCCACGTGTTTTTTACTGAATGCATTTTTTCCTCTTTTGGAACATGTGCGAGCAGTGCACAATTCACTGAGGAAATTGTTCTGAAATGGGGAAAATAAACAGAATAAAAAGTCTGGTTTTTAGAAGCCCTTGCAAGAAAGCCATGGCAGGAGATGGAGGAGAGAAGCTCCCTTGGCTGGAGGCATCCCCAGCAAACTCGCAGTGCCCCATGCACACCATTTTACTACAATTAAAAAAACAGAGAGATGAATTATTTAAAAAGTAAATAAAGAAATTCACACGCACTAAAACAAACATCTCCTTTGGTATCTCTAGAAATTCAACAAATGGGAAAATAGAGCAGAGCAGCAGAACCTCGCAAGAACTGCTAAAGGGCTGTGGGACGAACGGGGTAATTTGGGGACAATTTTATTTTTTAATTAGCTTTTCACAATTAATTTGTTTCATTAGAGGCATAGCCGGCACCGGCATTACTTTGCGATTACCAAGTGCCTCCCCGCGCGCCAGCTCCGCGCTGGCGCAGAGGGAGCGTGGCCGCTGTGCCTCCGACGGGCAGCGCGGGCCGTGGGGACGGGGGTGGCTCTGGCGGGGGACAACGAGAGAGCCCAGAGCCCAGATGGAGCCGGGTGACCGCCCGGGTTTAATTCTCACTAGAGCAGCCCTCGTAATCTACTGCGTGGCGGCCRCTCCCGGGGCCGCGCAGCTCTCCTATTTAAATGAGGGGAAAAAATAGCAGCTCACCATCTGCTGAGAGCAAAGCAGTTATGTCAAATTGAAGACGGGGCTTATAAAATGACCCGAGCTAAGCGGAGTCAGTGCAGCGCGGCCGGGAAGCGCTCGGCGTATCCTCAAAAAGCCTCGCGGAGGCTGCAGGCCTGGACGTCAGGAGGGAATTTCTGGGCTCGTGCTGGTCTGCAGAGCAGCGCGACGTGAAGGAGAGCGCGTGCCTGGCGCTCCAGCTTTGGAAGGGCTGCCCAGGTGGGATCTGTTAGGAAAACTCGCTTGAACTCGGCCCAGGTAGACCCAAAAGAGAGGGACCCGAGGAGGCATTTACGGCTCAGCAAGGCCCTGAGTGAAAATCGCCGGCGCTTCCACTAACCCCCATGCAGCACCGCAGCCCAGATGCAAATGCAGCCAATTAGAAAAATAAAATAGGTCGAGGGGCACAAGGGAGACAAATTCTCTCGGTCCCTGCTTCCCGCGGGATGCACCGGGTCCCCGCGCAGCCTCACGGTCCAKCACCTTGGGACCTTCTGCAGCGACAGTTAACCAGAAGAGGGAACAGACTGCGCTCAATGAACGCAAGGATTCCTGCCATGCATTATTCATAGCGGCTCTTTTTTTTTTATCCCTGCCTGCACACAGATGTGTTTACTCGCACTGTGCCTCATTTACACTCAAGGTTTAACATAACAGGGCTCGTTTCCCTTCCTTAAGAGGTTTTCAAGCAAAATACATGTTCTTTTTCACTCTGCCCATTGGTTGTTTCCAAAGCCAAGCTGCAATTAGGAGCCAAGAGGGCCCGGTGGCCTCCGGCCTCCACCATCGCCGGGCTGCCCTCAAAACCCGCGGGTATTTAGAGGCGTTGGGGCCAACGCCACCCTAAGCTGATTGCCAGATCTCTTTGCTTGGAAAAGGAGCCGCCGCTTATCCGCTTTTCCCACATGGGCACCCGCAGAAGAGATTAGAACGGAACAGGGCCTGCAAGGACCAGGCCTCGGCCCAGGCGGGGCCTGGCGAAGGGCCGTGCCAGGACTAGGCCCCAGGGCCCCGCTTGGAGCTACCAGCCCTCGGCGAGGCGTCGGCTTTGCTCCCTTTCCAGGCTCTGCCCCGGCTTATCCACAGCCATCCTCCAGCAAGAGGTGGTGACGAAGCAGCGCCCGCGGCGCCCACTGTCTTCATCACCATCCTCCACACGTGCTGTGCGTTGCGGGGTCCTGCCCGGGGAGCCGGCGGGGCACCATGTGCCAGCGCCCAA